TCTATGGGAATGATTCGAGGAAAGTTTTTAGAATGTTTGCAAGTGCAATGCACACTTCCGAATATTCACAACTATGATACAAAGGCTTTGTTCAAAAGACTGATGACGGTGTTCGCCTAAGGCGATGAGGATGAGGTGTTCAAATGATCTCAAACGGCTCAACACTCACTCACTAAGCCAGTTCAGGCATATCCATGCGTGTGAAACGTCCTATGAAGAAGCATTTCGTATCAGTTCATTCAAAATGCACTATTGTTTGAATAATCTTTGAAGCGTACTGAATGCAAACGAATCGAGAAGACAAAGGCGAAAGGAGTGTCATCGATGAGGTTGAATCGTCTCCATCTTCGTAGTATATGAATAATAGGTGTTTTATTGAGGGATATTTGATTTGTTCAAAGTCGTAAAGCGAACAAGCAAGCATAAAATCTTTATTATTTATTTAGTTGTTTGTTTGGTTCATGTTTTGTCTGAAGTATAAAGAAATCAATCCACATTTCATCACAACATTACTCTTCAAGTACACCGACTGCTGTGTAATCACAATCCATGCATGGACTAAACTCTTAGCCAGTAGAACAATAGATGCGGCTGGAAGTAATAATGACGCATTAGAGCAGCAATTCATACGGCACCTAAAGAGCAATTCATACCGCACTTTAAGGGCAATTCATATCGCAGCAGTCTTTTCTTCAGCCTACTCGTATTCGCTAAATCGACAAAAATTTTCTTGCAGCTGTTTTATGAATCCTTCAAAAGCGTTCTCAGTTTTGTTCCGAATACATAGCAACAGATTTGCAGTGCGCTAAATTCTAGCAAAAGAAAGTTCGTTGCTGACAATGAGATTGAATTTGATTCTGCACAACCGCATTATTAATGCGATTCGGTTGATACTTTTTGCCTTCCCAGTGTTGGGAATGAGAACGAAGACGACTAAGAAACACGAGCAAATTTGATATTCAAAGCAAAAATTCAGCAATGTTTCAAATTTTTTCGCGATTGCGGAAGCATCCCAGTGAGATGGAATGAATATCTGGATAAGGAAATTGCGACAAGACAAGCTTTCAGCCGCCAGATTGTGGCAGTTTAGTTCTTGAATTTGTTGCATTTCACAAGATTTTCTCGCACTATCACAATGCGACAACGATCACGGTCGTTCAATTGGGTGATCTCGACGAACGGCCGCAAATTCACTCACTCAATTCACGCGCTATCTGATGGTTGTGTAATTAAATTTGTAATCCCGAAAATTTTCAGCGTTCCCCTCTTTGCAATTACTTCCGCCAACGATACAAACCGACAAAATTTTACTCGTTTCTACTGCTCGCCGTTGATTCATTTATTTTGCTTGCTTGCAACTAAAAATCAGCCAGCCACAAAGAACTCATCGAATGTGTCATTGAGGAGAGCAGTGGTGAAGTGGTTGAAGTGATCAATGCCTTAATATCAGCTGTCTTATCCAATTAAGCTACAATGCCTGCCGAGAAAAAAAAATCGCCAAGTACATCTGGTCGTAACGAGCCGAAATACTCATTCAGAATAAGCCGTTTCGCTCTCGTACGAGACACACACCTCATTAGCCATAGCTAGACTGCACAAAATCTCATTTGGCAACAAGCTGCTGAAAGCAGTTGATACATCAAAAAGACTCGAATGATTTTAAAGCAAAACTCACGTCGAGTTTCGCCTTGAATTGTGGAGGCAACCTCAAATTTGACGTTAACACTTTTGCTTGTAGAGTGTGCAAACGAGTCATCAAGAACTTTCGCTCTTCCTCGGCGCTCATCGGAATCGGTGAGAACCTTCGTACAGGCATCTGAAATTGACACGTTGTTTGACCCTTAACCATCCACACCTTATGATGCTTGTTCAAATTCGTTTTTCAATTTCACCGAGTCATGCGTCGTTCAACAGAACCAACCGTTGGAGGAAAGTTAAACATCAAGAATCTACAATGTTTTACATGAATCTGGTTGTTGCGTTCAGTAAGTGAAGGCGGCTTACATTGTGGAAGTCCTTTTCTCAAAAAAAAAATTGTTTTTGAAGCAGTATGAAACTGTTTACGGATGACGGAGGAGAATCTCAGAATGGAATTAATTTATCAGATTAGTGTTAGTATACTCTAAAACCGTATGAAGAAGATGCAATGAACGCAACGGATAAGCCACAATTAAAAGTTAGCTTTTTTTCTCATATAACTCAGTTCGACTAATCATAAATTACTTCTAAACTGTCAGCGTAATCCTATGGGAGTGCTTCAAGGTCTCTGAGTAAGTACTTGTGCTAGTTTCGAAGTTCTGCCGACATCTACATCAAAATGCTTTTTCCATATAATGTGATCAAAATTCAGAAATCACATCAAATCACATCAAATTGATGTGATTTGTTTCAAATTAAGCCGTTGACATTGTTCTAAGTTTCGGTTTCAAGATAACAACGCTACCATGAACATTAAGGGATACTATTCAGGCATGAAACTTTTTTGTAATGACCTCGCGCGTACACAAATCGTCAGCTTTGTGCATATGACTCAGTCGTATGAATACATTGAATTGCCTTTATACCGATACATGAGAAATTTTACGATAGGAACATCTGGATGATCAGTTGAGAAGGTGAATGACTTCATTCGCATATTTAAAAGTTTTAGAACGCAAATGCGGATCCATTAAGTGGATGAGATTGAACAATAGAGCATGTTGAAATGATCGACATTTCCTTTGGATAATCGTTTAGCTTTTGAACGGCTCAAACGATCACTAAAATATAATCACAGGTTTACGATGCATATGGCACGCGATTGAGAGGGTTTTATTGAGGTGATAAAAAATGGAAAGAAACTCAGAGCTGATTAAGTAAACGCGGTCGGAACATTACCCAACAGAAAAGTACAACGAACATGGCAACTTCACAGGCCACACATTCTTCTGCGCGTTAAAATGCACATTTAATCCGATTAAACGAAGAAAAATGCTGATTGCTGATAAGATGAATAGTAGTTTGCAGTGAATTACACGTATGACTAAATATAGTTACTCGTGACAGAATTATCAATCGGGAGAGTTCCAAGAAGATGGAAAGACGATACTGCGAAGGAAATTGGTAACAACTGGCAAAGGACCGAACGGCATTGCATTTTATCTGGGTAATATCGACGTTTAATATCTGGGTAATGACTGAAAACTCAGAGTTGAATTCGCAACAGTCGTTCACCTGTCTGACTTGTTCGCATATTCAGATATCAGCAAACATAGGGATATCGTGGTAGTTGGTTGGTAGCAGCATATGATGGTTGTTCGTCGACAAAAATGAGTCATGAGAAAGTCATGAAAAAGCAGTAACACATCAATGCAAGGAACTAAGCTAGTATAATGCCAGATTTATTCTGGAATTGGCATGGAATAGAGAAATGCTTCCTTGATAAAATCAATGTTCTATTGTCATGTTGCGCACTGGAATTTCGACAGCTGAATGAAATATCTGTTGTGCTGTAACTGGTGGCTGTAAGTAATGATCAAACTTCAACATCCCATTATCACTATGTTTTTTGCAAATGGAGGAACATTGGAGACATTGACAAAAATGCATTTAAATCGACAGCGATTCTTAAAAAAGCTCTCTTGAAACGGCTGTTTCTTAACTTGAATTTGAATTTGTTATAACTTGAAGTTAAAAATTTGTGTCTTAACTTAAAGTAGATCAACTCGTTACCTCAATGAAATCTATGGCAACAATTGGATGATGGACTAAATGTGGTAACAGTCGTCACCTCAGGAAAAGATCTAGCAAGAAATTTTTGCGTGTTCTCAATGAATACATGAAGATGTCTGATGAGAATCGTTCAATTCAAGACCTTCGAAGTTGAATTCGAGAACAGTGAACTGACCTTTTGCTGATACGCGACCGTGTTACGTCGCATATTATAGCGTGGCGATAGGAACACGGTTGATTGTTGGTTTCTGCTTGTATGCATGCTTAAAGTTTGCTGATACTGAACGAATACGGCAACGAACAGTGAATGTGAATGGGGTGATGAAGTTTTGTTGGATGGGCGTGTTTGGTTGGATGGTGAGGAAAGGATAAAAGAGGATGTTTATAGCGGTGAACCTAGGTCGATTTCTATAGAGATCGAATATCAAGCGCTTCATTCAGAAAACCGGATGATACTGAACCAACGATAACGCCGCCCATCAGCAATTATCCATTCCATGACAAATTCTCATTCATCTCAAAGATAATTCCAAAGCAACGGGAAGTGACCGTATGATTCCAACTAATCTTGTCGACATTCAAGTGTTTGCATAGTTCAGCTCTCAACGATCTCGTGCTCATAGCCAATAAGTGTTTTTTTTTTTGGTTTGAAGGATTAGGAGAGCTCCAAGTTCCACGCTCTTACAAAGTCCCTAAAGACTCATCTCGTCAAAGGAAAAGGCTTTTTAGATGTGCAATGTTGTCAACTGCGTAAACAATTAGGGATACTGATCGACGGAAGTTTCATCAGTGACTAATTTCAGTCAGAATTCCGAAATACAGACTTTGGCCAAAGATTGGGATGGTTTTTTGTCGGAATACCGAATTTCGACTGAAGTTTTGGGAGGATCGAACTGAAATTTCGTATGGATGCTATCTATATGAACAGCAAGGCTTCAGCAAACAAAACGGTCCGAAGACCAGTGCATTAATTGGTTGATGTCGAACCAATGAGAAATCACAATAATGAAGGGAACACAATTATTCACTTATAATGCCTTAAAAGCATATTCATTGTCAGTGTTTTATTGTTTTATTTATCGGCTCTATAGGGGCGAGAAATGCACAAAAACTGAATGAATCTCGTTGATGCTCCACTTTGATGATGAATTACTCTCAACGCTGCTATTGTTTTTCGCATTCATCATATTTGTGTTGCTCGTTCATTTCAAGCATTTGTGAGTGAATTAGTTAGTATCGACATTCATTCATTGCGCAGAATTATTCAATCTATTCATCTATAATTCCATTCATGACTAAGTCTGGGGACTTGTTGAAGCAACAGAAAAGCATTGATAACAGCACGTTTCTCAGGAAATGAACCAGACGAAAGAAGGCAATAGAAATAGTTCGATGCTCAATTACACATCTGCCTCATGTGAACCCGTGTTCAACGAATTACCTACATCCATAGAATTGAATTTCTATGAGCGCTGTTGATGTTATTAAGCTGATTAATCGTTAAGAAATGCAATTTTGACGTTCTTTTACACAGTCACCGTGTGATTGACGATGTTACCAAATAGAGCTGCATAACATTGATTAAATAACGCTTCGTTTAATATTTGTAATTCGATATTTGTTAGAAACGGTTTAGTCAATTGGTGTTTCGTTTGAAATGAAATTATTTGGTTGATGAACGATGAAAAACCAGTGGAATGACGGTATCTTGCATGCACCGAAAGGGATTTTGAAATGAATTGCTATCCAGCAGGCTATCACAGTTAGTTACGTCAAATTTTCTTTGACGTCCCGTAATAAACGTGGAATTTTATCATGCTTTAAAAAACAAAACTAAGGAATGATTTATGCGGCTTCATGCCTTTACCATAGTAATCGCTTGATTCGTGGCATTTCCGTTTTATTCAGTCTCACTTATGAAAGATTCGATACGAGACAATGCATAAATTTATCACGATGAGATCTGACATTGTCGCTTAATAAAAATTCATCCTGCCTGAATCCGAGCCAAACAACCGATGAGAGGCTTGCTGAATGGCAAAATTCGCTGTGAAAAAGCTAAATGATCACAATGGTGGATCGTTCCGCCAGTGTGCACCAATCAAAAAAATGTTAATAGCACCACTCACTTTCAGTCCGATAAAGCACTCACTCTTTACAGCACATAATTAACACACATTCATGCTCTTCATTCGACTCTAGTCAAGCTATTTTGCCTACTTCAACGAGAGTGCTTATGGCCCGGTTTCCATAAGAATTTGGTTCCAAGTTGGTTTAATTCAGTGCTTTGCTGGCATTGTGTTGAGCTGAACCAATGAATAGAACCTCTCTTGAATTGTTGACAAGCGAAAAGACTCATCAGAGGAGCACATGCATCGAGAAGTCCGTTAGATTCATTGGCGAACAAGTAAATGATGAGAGCAAAATGTTGGACACGAACACGTTTCACGATCAGTGAAATTTTTTGTTAAATATTCATTTTGAAGATAATCATGTCCAGTCGCGTATAATGAAGCCATTCGACACGATAATTTCCCTATCAGATTACCAACTACGAAACTTTTTGCAAATGATTTCATGACAATTACATTTCATACATCATAATAGCATGTTTCCTTTCTCGGTATTAGCAAAATGTGCTCTCGCTCTATCTTCCTCAAATATAAGTTACGATGGCTGATTTCTATCTTTTTCAGAAGCTTATCAGTGACCTTCATTTAACTGCAGTTAAAATTCGAGGGAATTCATCATAACCACTACCTACGGGCATCGAATGCAGCTTTCTTAGAATCAGTGAGCAACGATTTAAGGCAATTATTTGCAAATATTGAGCATTTATTGAACATTTA